CGGTAGTGCCCGGATCCCGCGGTCGTAATACCGTTTCTGATATGCCATCCGTTTTCTTAAGCCCCTTTGCACTTGCTTATGCGAGGGCGAGACAGGGTCTAAGTACTGTGCAGACGCAGGCATAAGGATTCTTGTACTTCTGCTGCACAAACGTTTGCAGTGGAATGAGGTCGATGTTCGGTAATGGCGTAGTGTGATTCTCCAACAACATTAGATACGGGTCCTCATGAGTGGCTCTGGCTTTCGACAACAGCCTCTTGGCTTGTTTGACCGCTGCCCCTGTTTTCTGTTTGAGCGTGATACGGGCTGGTTTCTCGATGTGACAATTCCCACTTGTTCGCGAAGGTCTGAAATGCATCACTTGCAAATGACGGACCATAGTTGGAGATTAGTTCCTCCAGTATTCCGTGTCTGGCGAATTGACATCTAAGCTTGTTGATGATTGCCTCTGCGGTGGCAGTGGTGAGTTGTTCGATCTCAAATCAGGCACTGTAATGGTCCACAGTGATTAAATAGTTTTTCCCGTTGTCACAGTACAAGTCAATTGCTACTTTCTACGATAGTCGAACTGTAATCTCACGCAATATCATTGGTTCCGCGATTTAGCGAGCGTCGTGGGACTGACAGGCGGAACACCTTGATACATGGTCTCTGAATTGACTTATCTTCCCGGGCCAGGACATTTGTTCGCGTGCTCTACTAATACCGTAGTTGACACGCAAGTGAGCTGGATAAGCGTGTTCTAGCTTTTCTTTGCGAAGCGCGGCGGGATAAAAATGCGATGTCCTTTAAACAGCAAACCATCATACACCCTTAGTTCTTCTCGAAAGTTGCAGAACGGCGTTAATTCCTTCAGAAGTTTACTCTTCGTATCTGGTCACCCCCCAAAATCATGTCGCGCAACGCCAGGCCCATCGAGTCTACCTCCTTATGACGCTTTATCTTTTTCAGGCGATCTGTTGTTACCACCAGATGTTGTACGAGATTGACTGCCTCTAGTTCTTTCTGTTGGTGTTCCACTATCGGGAGATGAGCTCTCTACAGAGCGTCCGCGATGAACATTTGCGTCCCTGGAGTGTACACCAGATACAAGTCGTGTTTTTGAAGCCGGATAAGCATCCATTGAAGCCTTCGAGTGACACTGTGTAACGGTTTACTAGCTATTGACACGAGCGGTTTGTGGTCCGTATACACTGTAGTCTTCCTTCCCAATGTGTAGTCGTTGAATAGCCGCATTGCGTAACCGACAGCGAGCATCTCTTCTTCGATCTGAGCATAGTGCTGTTCCGCCATTATGAGCGCTCGACTTCGGGAATCCAACGGTGTACCATCCTGCAGCAGAACGGCACCTATTGCACCGTGGCTGTTGTCACACTGCATCTCCAAGGGTAGTGCTGAATCACAGTAATTAACTGCTGGTGCACAGCTAATAAGACTCTTGATGGTTGTAAAGGTTACCTCCTGTTCTTCTCATCTTTGTGAGTCAGTCTCCGGATGGGTGTCCTGATTTCAGCAAGTCATGATAAGAACAGGCTCAGATAATTCACTATGTCATTTGAACAATTAACAGTCTTGACGTCCTTAGGTTGTGGCGTCTCCTGTACTGCCTTACTTTATCCGAGATCGAGTTTAGTTCTCTGGGGTGTCAAAACGTACCCTTGAAAAAGCATTTCCGGTTTCCGGATATCAACTTCGTTGCGTTTGAGTCTTGTGTTCTTTCGTACGCATCGTTGCAAAATGTGGTGAATATTGATGTCATGTTTCTGTTCGGTTGGGCCATAAATCAGTTTATCGTCTGCTACACACTTGACACCTTCTAGGTCGTCAAAAGCTTGCAGTAACCGCTTTATAAAAAATTCGCTCGAAACCTTAAACCGAACGGTAAACGTAGCCAAAAAGAACGCCCAAAGGGTGTGGGCACCGTCGTCAGGAAACTGGATTTCTCACCTAAGACCACGTGCCAGAACACCTTTGTGAAGTACTTCACCTTAGCCAAACGGGGCAGGACGTCTTTTAACATTGGCATCGTACAATGTTCTCTACGCAAAGCTCCATCCAACGGCTTACGATCTATTCGCAGACGCAAATCACCGTTCTTTTCGTAACAATCACGATTTCCCTAACCCACTCTGTCGGCTCGTCGACCTTAGCGATTCCACCCAATTGTGTCAAATTGATTAATTGGGTGGCAAACTTATCACGTAATGTAAACGAAACTCTTCTAGCTGGCAGCGCAATCGGTCCTACTGACGAATCTAGTGACAAATGAACGGAACCTTCAAATTTCTCCAAACGTAGGTTAAACACGTATAAATACTGTTAACTAGCCTCTGTCTCCGCTTCACATATGTGCATAAAACGGGTCATGGTTAAAAGGAACAAAGACAAGACATTGGATGTAATCAATGCCGAGAATCGGTGTGGGAACTTCCTTCACAACCACGAAATCCAAATGATGTGAAGAGTCGTCTTTGGGATTGATCAGTTTGATTGTGGAGAAACCTTTCGGCTTGAACTTGGAACCGTTCCAAATGCGCAAGGCTCCCGGATCATGCCCACGAATTCCTGGGCACCGCTTCGCTGGAATTATGTTTATGGTGGCGCCCGAGTCTAACTGAAAACGCACTGTCTCGTCGCCAACAAATAAACTTGCATAGACGCATTTCTTTGGTCCTGTCCACGACATATTCCTGATTGACTGTTCAGAGTCTGTCGGCGTTGTGTCCCGAATGAGTGCATTCACCTTCGAAGACTGATAATATCGAGCGAAATGATTCCCTCTGCCGCATCTGGCGCAAATTCGGCCCCACGCGGTCCTTCGGATGTCGCACGGCGCAGAATTTGCAAATTTCGTGTATCGTGAAAACATGCTTAGCATTTTTGTAAGATAAAGTGGTGACGTCATATAGCTCTGCTTCAGTTGGTTACTGCGTCTGCTGGATGTGGTGTACAGCTGATGATTCACTGTGGCATATATCAAGACATTGTCTGAGCGATAAGTGCTTTTACCGCAACAGCCACTTGGGGCTGTTTTCATCAAGGATGCACAACACGATGCTATCTCTGATGAGACTGCGAGTCATATAATTGCAAAAATTACGGGAACGAGCAGGGTGGTCAGCTCCGTAACATAGTTCTCGATAGTTTTGTTTAAGCGCCGGTTTCGGGTAAAAGAGAGATACCGCTGATACGTCCCCTTAGTCTGGCATTCGCAGGAATCACCGACATTTCGGAAGACAGTTTCCAACCCAGCTGGGTCTCCCTCCTTTTCCTAACGCATCGTTTTCAATACACGGTGTGCTTCATCTCCGATCGTATGTCTAAACATCATCAATCGGTACGCCATCGGTAGTGTATTCAGCGGCATCAGTATACAGAAATCGACCCACTTGCTTTTCCAGATTCTCCAGTTATTGGTCAAATTCTGTTCTTCATGCTTTGTGGCGCAGGTGGTTGCACAGCTGATTGCGCTCCAATCAGCAACTGAGCACCATTGGGTGATCTTGGCTTGGTTTTCTCTGACATCCTGTCACAAAACTCGGTCCTTCAGTGATGAACGGTTTATTCAGCAAAGCGAGGTCGCCAAAGATGACAGCCTGACAAGCATGTAGGTATCTCGATATAACTAACTAAGTCATTTCCTTGAAACAATTAGTTCCCGAGGAAACTTTTCTGCTATAAGTCATTTCCATAATTGACCATACTGCTGCACTCATGAGATTCTTTCTTTGAATCAATTAAACAAACCCGCTTCAGCAGACCAGTCAGCGTGTAGACTAAATATGCACAGACGTAAGATCAACTGCTCCGTTCGCCTGCGGCACGCTGGCCACTTGCTTGCTTAATCCTATCACACTACCAATGATGATTAGATTTGCACTCTGTCTGGTACTTGTCAATCAAATAATTTCTTATAAATAAATAGATGACAACATTCCCCTTGCGAGAAGAAACCGCCTTTAACTAGGACCGGTCAGTAGTTCCATACATCAAGGATATCATCTAAGTTAGCAGTGCGCTTTAGATAACGCCTGTGCACCAAATATGGTGGCAGATTCTGAGTCAGCAGCATCGAAGGTCAGAGTAAGCACGCAAACCGGAAAAGTTTTTCTTTAACATTGTGATTGTGTGGATGATGGTGATAAGTGGTGCATTTGAATGAATGTGCGGAAAATATCTGAAATGATCCCCAATATTCCACTAGATTTATGTGCTTTTCAACCGACGTCTTGTCCGTTGGTTTCTGAGTTGGACACCAGTGAAATAAATTGTGAACTAAGAATTCAAAACACATAGCACGCGATGAACAAAGACAACACTGATTTCAAACTACGAAGAGGTTATGTAGGAGAGAAAGAAAACTAGATCAGACATCAGTTGAGAACACTTCGTTCGGACCCAAAATATAGAAGAATACTCAAGGTTGTTATGCTGTGTTTTCCTCTGTTGGTTAAGCAGCTCATTGACGGCGCGCCATCTGATCAACACCGAGTTTTTGTACTGAGAAGGCTTGGAATACTTTTGTAATGTATTTCGAATTGACTTCAGTGAAATCACCCTTTATGTAAGCATTAGTTGAAGCATATTTATGTTGCCTCTTTTAGAAAGAGATCATCCGCCAGAACGGAGCATATCACAACCAATGTATAGCTAGAATACGCATTCAATTGACTGCTTCGTGAAGCAAGGGAGCGTGTTCATTCATCTGGGATTTAATCAACTGTAAATAGTATGGTAACGCCACTGACAGTAAGCGGATGGGTGTACCCAAATACTGACCGTGATAGCAACCTTCTGAAATACTCGGGCGGCACAAATAAATTACCTAAAATACTATGATGAGCTGGTTTCATCCTGAAGGTTGACGCATTAAAGGTATGTTTCTAGGTTGCTTTAAGTCAACTAATGGCCTTGACTTAACATTGTTGTCCACAGAAATCACGTGATTGGTGGTTTATCGTCTCCATTCCCCATCGATTGATACCCTCCCCCTCATACAGGTCGGTGAAAGTGGAAAATCCTGCAAAGAATTAGAGAAAATTATCGTCCGACTCAAAAGTGTGCTACAGCGGAGCCTGGCCGAAAACGAACGTCTCAAAAGCACTCCAAGTGCGACTGTACAGAATGAGAATCGTCAGCTACAAGCAGAGAATGAGAGGCTACGGATGGAATTAGAACAAGCAAAATTGGCGGCAGATGCACTCATGACAACGCATCGAGCAAGTAGCGAGAAAAGTATACAGAAACTTTCCCAAGAATACGAACGACTAAGAAAAAGCTATGAGGAGGTATGATTCGTTGAAACCGAACTCGTATAGATAAAGACCCGTTCTAATAGTTATAGGACTCACGTCCAATTGCATGTAGTCCACGTTGATAGTATTATCGTAACTTTGGACATCATACTCAACTCACATTCCGACCAAATCAGCAATAACACCGTAATGTTTATAACATCGTCAGGTTGGCTCATCTTAACGGCATCGGACCACAATGATGGAGAACAACAGATGAGTGTCTCAAACGTTTATGTTTCATGGAGTTTTAGTTCTCGTGTCCTGCTAAATCTAGGAGCAAAACGGAGTAACCATTTGATTTCTCCCACCAGATTTTCGCCGAAAATGCGCGTGCCAAATTGGAACACAAAGAGAAGCAACAAGAGGGCACGGTTGAAAAGAGCTGAGCGACTCGGTAGTTTCACAAACGTTGATCTTCCAAATCTCACTATATTGCTGGACTATATGCACACACCATTGATAAAGTTTATTTTTCCATTATACACGTTATCCAAAATTGTCCGCTTTTGCAGTCATTGGTACCGGAGGAATTGCGAGTGGCCACACTAGTCAACAGGTTCAGAACGCTCAACACTCACCGGACTACTTCGTATGAGGGCTCACATCCGCATATTGTATTTTCCGAAGCGTGGGATCCCGTTTGTCAGAAAGAACTGGTTATGTGTATGACTGACCGTGAAGTCTGCAAACATCGAAGAGCTACTACACTTTTGCTCCGTGAATACAAATCTGCAACTAGACATATTTCTGATTGGGCTGGCATCGTTCGCGATAGGGGCCTATCCATGGTCACACATTCGTGCAAATCGCAAGTTTATTATCAATGTCCTTCCAAAGACACTGTCGCAGCAACTGAGTATCGCAAGTCTAAGTATATTTGCAACAGTCTATGAATAGACATAGAGCCATCAGAAACCATGGAACACAAAAGAAGGTACAGAAATTGTAAAAGAAAACACAACACAACACATTAAAGTCCATGGTTTCGTCAGAGGGCGAGATACTACCCTATTACCCCAGCCTTTGACTGAATATCCTGCCACAAGGCAGCGGAGTGAATTCAGGGAATCGCGCCCATTGGGAGCCGGTGACTGACTGCTTAGTTCTTACGCCTTCCGTTTGTTCCTTTGTCAAACAGGGGCCCAATGCTCCCTAGAATTACAGCATAAATTTGCTGGAATACAATGCTTCGCCAGGATGAAGCAGGGGGCAGTGACTTTATTTAGTGGCGAGTCACGTCCGCCACGTCACAGTGCTGTTAAAGGGATATTGGTGGCCTTTTATAGGGAGAACACTTGCCAAGCGAAAACCCACCACGTCCTGGAACACTGTCGCCGAAGAATTTGCTGAAAGGGGAAAATCTCGAACCATCCAGCTGGCACCACGAGGAGGTTGTTCGGCAAGCCTAAGTCTAAGTGTGAACAAAGGCTCCAGTTAACTGGACAACTTATCGGCAGGCTTGGGACAGAGCCACACCGAAACCCTCAACTTATCGGCTTTGTCGTATGGTGTTATAATAAAAGCATACTGGTGAAGATGCGACACGCTGAGGTGTAGGTTTTCATAGACCACCCCAGCGTTTCGGTTATAAAATTCTGTACAGGTCGCAGGCTATAGAACTTGAAGTTCAGTGCGACGGTACACCAGATAGGAGCTCAACTTCCCTCGCTTCGCCATGCCTGGTACGGTAAACCTGACCAGATGCAGTGTATCGTGTTAAAAACCAGTTGTATACTAGCCCCAAGTTGCCTTGGACGTTGGGACGACATATTTTCCACCTGCCTAGTTCCTATCGTCTATCTGCTCATGCTTACCAATGGCTGTTGACAACAGTAGTTGCCATACAATACGAAGTGATTGCATCCGCCGTTTTTTGCTTTGTAACCGTGCAGTGTATGCCATCTGAGCGCTATTGTCTGCGTCTATACATAATAACCAGAACAAACATAGGTGTGCACGGCCAGTCAAGGCGTGTGCATTCGCTGCATCGTAATATACCTGTCGTTCATATAGTTTGAGACTCCAGTTGTCGCCACCGTAAATGCTATCGGAATAAGGGAATGTGGTTATCGGTTATGCGAAATGAAATATGAGACAAGGAGAACAAGTCAGTGCTGCGATACGAACTTCATTTAGTGTGCAAGCAGAGAAACTACGACCCGGAGTGTCACATAACCGAAGGGTATACACGTGGATTATCGTTTTTGGGATTGGGTATCACTGACAGGGATGGGCACGAAGCTACTAGAAAGAATATGTCAGTCGACAGAACACGTAGAACAGGGTTAGAAGTGAGAAACTGCCGGACCGTAGAACATTTGTACTCTCATTTCATGCATAAACATAAGACGATCATAAGAAATTGGTTTGAGCGAACGCAGTGAAGACAGGACAACAGAACCGGTAGATGCACATGACTCAAATCATAACGATTCTATCAATATTCCAGCGGTGTTCGAGGATAACACAATGGTAAGCTTAAAAGATCTAGTTTGGTTCAGGGATGAGGCAGTTTGAGAGTTCAGATATCGCTTTCTTGTCACACAACCCGATAGATGCTGTAACTGTTATTGGACTGAGTAGCGGTGAGAAGAGTTTGGCAGGTGCCTACTCGCACATAGGGTTTTGATGGGCGTATGACTAGAGCTAAGTGGCTTGCAAGTCGTTGGGTAGAGGTACTGTCGTTTCGAAGAAAGTTCAACGCTTTTTCAAGTCATAGCGGAACGTTCATCGGTCGGGTCCTGGAGTTCTCAATGTCTTTTGATGGCGATACAAAACCTCAAAATCTATTAAAAAGTAGAACACAATCAAAGTTCAATGTATGGAACTCAGCTTGTCATTGAATTGCAACACGAAATCTGTGTCGCGACCTCCGTCATTCCAACCAACTGGGTTGTGTCCGTAGTGGAGAAGTTTCGATGTTGCCTCTCCCTACGCTGACGCCCCAAGACCGACGGTTTAGTCCTGGTTTGGACTCATCCGATGGAGATAGTCTGAGCTGACAGTGGAAGTTTAGGCCTAATTATTAGCGGCTAACGCTTTGCTCACTATGCCACTCAGTTCGGGAAGCAACATTTAGCACGGCAAGTCTAGTCAAGTCAAAAATGTGCATAATGCATCCTTGAAGAGTGAATATTCAGCTCTAACACACACGCCACTGAATGGAATACATAATAGAAAGGGATAGTGCATGGGGATCGATCTAAAACCATGATCGTTAAAAAAGAGTTGGCAGAGTAAATGTTGCTAGAGTCGTTTACTAATCAGTTCTTGAATGACTGCATTTTTCTCATTCAAAAAACGTGACAGGAAAAGAACTACAGAAATACCACAGGCCCTTGTGCGGACGTATGTAGTTTTGTAAATCTGCCTGGTCAAGGAGGAGGTGGATAAGCATTCGGATAAGTTCCGTAGAGGGGATAGCTAACATCTGTGAGCATGTTAGATGTCAACTTGTTACAGGAGTTGACATGGCTGACAACAGTGACGTTGACAATTTTCATCCTTGAAATTCCACTACACCGGGCTAGATACCTCATTGCTCTGGCAATTACTTTAAGGTCCTTACTCAGGAGACCAGGAAAGATAACTGGAGAGCAATACTTCCAGTAGAGTTATACACATGTAGTGATAAAATCCTGGATTAAGAATCGTGGTACGGAAGAAGACATGAGACGTGTAAAATATGATGAGAGTCTTCTAAGCTTATTGAATGTTACATTCACGTGAACGGACCACTTTAGCCCACTGCTCAGCGTCACTTCCAGGTATTTTAATGAGTGGAAGAGGTCAAACATTCACCGTTAATGAAAAGTGGTGGACGCTGTGTCAGGATTTTCTGGAAGATTTTTCCTTTGGACAACCTAAAAAGGACATCCATGCATTTTGAAGTGTTTAACGGTAAGCAACGGGATTTGGACCAAGCTGTGCGGTTGTCCAATAGGGTTTTAGCTTGACCGATAACTCTGTGCTTGGATGATCGACGCCAAAATTACAGCGTCCGTATACTTCATCAGGATGGCTTCTTCAGGGACGGGGATTGAGTTAACGTAAGTGGAAAACAAGAATGGGAACAAAATGGCTCCCTGAAGAACACCAGGGTTCGTGGTGGTTGAAAAAGAGTTTTTCCCCACTAACCTGGTAAGTGGGGTACGGCTAGTAAAACAATCTTGCACCAAGAGAACAACAGCAGTTTGGACTCCGGAATTTAATAAATCGGGAAACAGTAGTTCACGGTTCACACAACCGAAAGCGTTGCTAAAATACAGGAAACAGATGCGGATGGATTAGTTTTTATTATCCAGTGATGGGCGCAGAGTATGCACAAAACATGCTACTGCGTCTAAGGTGGATCCTGAGCTGCGATAATCAAACTAATGTGGGTCATCCAAATAAGTCTATGCTGAGATCATTTTAAGAATAAGCCTCTCAAATGTCTTAAGAGAAACCGACGTGCATGCGAGCGGCCGATATTTGCAGGTACCTTTCTTTGGCACTGGCATGATGCTTGCGCTTCGCTAACTCTCATCAATCTAGTGTTGCTTGAATCACAGCATGTACAATTCGGCGAGGAGCTCCGCCAGGTAATCGGCACACTCCTTGAGAACCACAGGAGACAATTTATCCGGACCAAGGTCTTTGTTCTCTTGTAGCCCGATTAATTTCCTGTGTACTTCTAGACTGTTCACAGAAAAAGGGTTGCCTGAGGCTAGCTGTAACCCAGCAGATGACATAGCAGAGGATGAAGTGTTGTCCTTGTCACAAAAATTGAGGTTTAGTTCTCCCTACATCAGGAGTCGAATGCGTGACCTCGATAACTATTGTTTCCAGCTTGGTTTTGGAATACCCGCCATGTGGTAGGGTTGCTATACGAAATCGCTAACCCAATCATTACTACGGTTTAGCTCGTAGCCGGTGTGAAGATTTTTCGGTGTTACTTATTCCCAGTAAGGTACAGTGCGAGAAACATCAAATGTCTCCACTACGGATGAGGTTCAGGTGTATGGTAACTCGAATTGCACGTTTGAGCAAAGTGTAGGCCACACTGACTTTAATGTTCCCGTGTTATATTCTTTCCTGAGCTACTTAAAAAGGCTGTACATTGTTTGTACAGTCATTAACATATATTTCCTGTTACAGTGGATTGTTCAGAGAGGTCATTGTTGCATTTACTTTTAACAAACACAAAACTCTAGTATCTGGTTTTCATCCAGGTTCTAAGACACTTCCTACCCGTTACATTGGGTCGCATCAAAAGCGATACCTGTTGCTTTTAGACGATCGAAATTAGTGTCCTGGTTCCTGTAACTACATCCTACTATAATTCCATTTACAGCGCCTACTTGATTACCCGAAAAACAATCCTCGGTGTGAAGCGCAGTAGTTTACTCGACTGATACGCGCACACATTTCCGATTAAAGACTTTTTATACTTCCATATAATGTATTTCTTATTCACAGTGCTAATATAAAATGGTGAAAGTGCACCCGCT